GGCCGGGAGAGCCCCGCTCCAGCGCGGCGGAGTCCTGCGGGGACGCGAGACCCGCCACGCTGGGTGGGGAGAGGGCGAGGGGCACCGCTTCTTGCCGTGAGGAAGCGCCGGGTTTGGTGCGGCGCTGTCCCCGGGTGAGGCTGGGGCTTCCAGCCGGCAACTGGCGCGTTGGGGAAGAAAAGATCAGTGAAAAATAGCAGTAATAATGACAATGGAAACTGGAGCGCACTCGCTTTTTGCCGTAGAGGAGCGATGGTTGTGCTTCGCAACGGCGTCACGTATCGGACACGGCAAGGGTGCTGCCGGGTTCGTTCCGTACGGTCTCTGTCCTGAGCTCTTCTCCATGGCGGTACGGCTGGCCTCGGCGTCTTCCCATTGCTTGCCTACTCTTATTTCATTTCCTCCACCCCCATTTTTCTTTATTTTGTTAATTATGTTAAATTAAATAGGTGTGAAATAATATTTCTTACATCTGAATAAAATGGTGGGTTAAGGTACAAGCTGACTTTAGAAAATCTAATGGTATCCGTGTTTCTGAGAAGTCAGTTTAAGTTAGCCCACGCATTTTTTCGTGAAGATGTGCGGAAAGTATTCTGAATGCCCCACCATCTTGCTTGTCGTAAGCAGGGCTGGGTTAGTCAGAGCCTGAATAATATAAAAATATCAGGATAAACGTCGTCTGTAGTTAAGGTGTTGTACTCCATTTCTTCATTTCCAGTGCTAATGAAGCAGAGCCGACCATCCACCCGCTGGAAGTCACCGTGCACATCGGGTGTCACTGGCACATCAGGACACTGGCAAGTGAAGGCCACAATTTCATTAGTTCATTTTCATACAGATTTCATGAGTCACATTTGAAAAGGTTGGCCTAATTTTTCAGCAGAGCTTCCTCCTATCGTTTGTAGATTGTGAAGTGCTTGGCAATTGTAGGTAAGCGGCATCTTTTCAGTGGGCATAAGCAGTTGTCGCTAAGAGGCCTAAGCCAGACAGTTAAAACTTCAATGGTATAGTTTCTTACTTTTCCGTATTAGTGCCTTGTTTCTTGGATTCTTTTACCCATATTTATAATAGTACACCATGGAGCCTCTTATACCTCTTCATTGCTAAAATCCTGCCAAAGTAGGTAATTACTGAGCAATATCAGTGATGTAGATGCTTGACAGTATACGTGAAGTCAATTTTAAAGGATGCTTTGATTTCTTGTGGACAGGACTCCCTATTACACTTGATGCCTTTACTGGCCATTTCAGAAGAGAGGTCAAGATAGGGACGCCTTACATGTAGTGTAGGTGTTTACAGCTGTACGAAATGGGCATACAGTGCTACTCGTTAGAGCAATCGTGTTTTATGTCAACTTTCTGCAGTTACAAATGGCTTCATGAGTTGCAAGGCAGCCACCTATGAGGCCTGTAGAAACAGAAGTATTTTGTTGCCCTTTAAGAGGTGAGTAACCTAAGGTAGGCTGCTACAGTCAGAATATAAAATGTCTGGGTTTCCACTGCTTTTGATTTATTGTGTCCGTAGTGAAAGAGAGGACTGTATTTTCCCGGGCTATCGATCCAGGACCTTCTGCAAACACTGAGGTCATGAGGGGTGGTGGGAGAGGATGGTAAATATTTCTGGGTTTCCATTTCTCTATGATTTTAAACAAACTAATCCCTTTGCATGCCCACTTGGAGATAATTCTGGCTTCTGTCAGTCACTCTTCTCAAGAGTTATAAGGTACTAACCAGAGTCTGTGAGGAGTTTTTCGAGGAACAGCGAGTGCTGGAATTTTTAAAATTGCTGATTATTAGTTGTTTTAAAACTGCACACAGGTTGAATTTCCAGATTTTTCTGCAGAAACTTGTATGGTCGGATGGTACTTTTCTGTCACTTCTGTGTAATTGGTATTAACTTTTAAAAGAGTCTGGTCCGGCCCTACCTTGTGGACTGCTCACAGGTACTCCTGCGTGCAGCCAGCGCTCCGCTGCAGTCGGTGCCGTTCAGCGCAGATAAAGCAGTCTGCTCGGATGCAGACGCAGCAGTATTTGGGCCTTCGAAGTTGTACATTTCTGGCATTTCTTTGAGTTAATTTGGGTTTGTCTGTTTCGCACCCAGCTGACAGTGGAGCGTCTCCCTCCCACGTGTGTGTCTCCTCTTAATTAATCTGTGGCACAACATACAAGAAGCAAGTAGCCGTGTGTCTGTGATCTGTCAAGAGGGAAAAAAATATTTCTTAATAAAACTTAGTTGTTATTTAATAATAACAGGAAAAATAATAGCGTTGATATAAATAATAGTAGTCAGGATTTTTTACGTTCCCTTCGTTTGGGGCCTGCCGTGGAGCTCATTAATGCTTGGGGGGGGGGCTGAGTTTGGTCCTCGATTACCATTTTCTCTCCTCCTCCTGCCCACGGTGGAAGCTACCTGCTGCCCGTGGAATCGAGCTGACCACTGGCAGCTCTTCCAGGCTGAGACAGACGCGTGCTTCCACGGCCGTTTTAAATGCATTCAGATAATAAAAAGGAGGCTTGGACTAGCCAGCTGCAGCCTGAGCCTGCAGGCCCCGGATCCCTCTGAGCTGCTACCATGGCTGACTACAAGTGACGGTTGTCATGTGAGCAGGGAAGGAAGGCCATAAGGCAACTCCGGGAGCATATGCTTGATCTGCGTTAAGCTTTGCACACAGCCTGAGGAGAAGCATGGGGAAGAAAGGGTGAGGCAGATGCAGCCTTATGGAGCCTGTCCCACCTCTGTTGCTTTTTCCCCGTGGCTTGTGCCCACCCACAGTCCATGGAATAGCGTGGCATCCTCCAGGTTAAAAAACACTGGAGCTGGACAATGCATTAGTGTGCCTATTTTCCTCCCCAATGCACTTGCGTAACATGGTAACGTTAATAGCAATTTATGTGCAAGCACTGAGGGGAGGAGGCATTTTATCTGAACTAAAGCTTTAGAATATCCACTTTAGAGTAGCAGCAGAGCTACAGGATCAGTGCAGGACAGCCATTCTTCAAGAACCACGCTTTCAGGAAGTTATTGTTCCCACCTCAGCCCCTTTTAGGAACACTTTCAGTTTCTTGAGAACTCAGCAGAAGTTTGTAGAAGTCAAAGAAAGGGCCAGCTTGTTCTGTTGGTTTCACTGTGGGAGGGCACAGTTAAATTCTGGCTATTTCTTTGCTCATATTCCTTACTCCTGTTACTTCACAGCATTAAAATAATCAGGATAATTTCTCCTTTGTAATTTTGAGATGCTGCTTCTGAATGTTCGCTTTCTAGACCTGTGCACCTGATTCCCACTGCCTCGTATTAAGTCTTTTTCTTATTTTTTAAGCCTCTTTTGTACTAGCAGAGCGTTAACAACTGCAACCCTCTGACAGAACCAGCCACTTAGAGCATTAGATCCTCCAAGCAACCTCTGGCCTAAGCTGCTAGCAGTTTCATTTGACAAGTTAGACAAGAGCGTAGGAAGGGGAACAGACAAGTGAAATGACTTGCCGGTAGTCTCACAGTACGGAAGGAGCAAAGTCGGGAATCAAATCTGGGCTTCTAACTTGCAGTGCATTGCTCCATACTTTTCTTTCTCTGTTGCTCTGAGATTTCTCTTTCACAGTCCCTTCCTTTTTCAGAGAAGTATTACTACACCTTGAGGAGCTGTTTATGATTTTTCCCTGTTTCAGAAGAATGGAGTAATAGGTTAGCCAGAGCATCCAGATCCATTTAAGTCTATCAGTCAGCTCTGTAAAAACTGCTTCTGATTCTGCAAGACATTTAGGTGTATGTTAAACTGATATGTATTAACTACTTAACGTACTAGTGTATGTGCAATATGCAGTGTCTGCAATAATGAAACAATTGCCCGCTAAGCTCTAAACTCAGTAGATTTTCCTTGTCCTGATACAAGTATACTGCATTACAAAAAAAATGTAAATCAGGTCAGACCTGTTCACCTGAGGTTTTGTAGCCCATTGAGCTAGTGTAGTGCAAGCAAATCAGTTTCCATAGCCAGCAACACATGAGCGCAGTGGGTCTACTGTTCACATCCAGTAACTTGGGATTGCTTCAGACTGACAAAGTCCCCATTAAAAGCTAAGCCAAAGGAGAGCAGCTTTCCAGCAACCCCGCACTTCTGATTTTTACAGTTACTGCTTTAACTCTTATGTAAACTGCAATAATATTTAACTGCTTTAAGCATAAAATGTAATTGGAACTAATTTTTCAATTTTACGTTGTTTGCCCCTTGTTACATTTCAGTGCTATCAAGTAGTTCTCTCCCTCCTCCACCCAAGGGCCTCTTTTTCCTATCTCTGTTTCTGTTGTTATTCAAACATTTGTTTGTTTATTTGCTCATTCTTTCTTTTCTATAAATGTTCATGGTGCTTTGAAGAAACACCAGAGACTTCAGAGCTACCTCACAAATATATATAGAATCACAGAATCATTAAGGTTGGAAAAGACCTCTAAGACGATGAAGTCCAGCCGTCAGCTGGTGTCCTGAAGTGCTACATCTACACGTTTTTTTAACACCTCCAGGGATGGTGACTCCACCACTTCCCTGGGCAGGCTGTTCCAATGCTTGACCAGTCTCCTTCAGTACAGAAATTTTTCCTAATATCCAGTCTAAACCTCCCCTGACGTGACTTGAAGCAGTTTCCTCTCATCCTATCGCTGGTTACTTGGGAGAAGAGACCAACACCTGCCTCACTGCAACCTCCTTTCAGGTAGTTGTAGAGAGCGATAAGGTCTCCCCTCAGCCTCCTCTTCTCCAGACAAAACAGCCCCAGCTCCTTCAGTCGCTCCTCCAGACTCTTCACCAGCCTTGTTGCTCTTCTCTGGACACGCTCCAGCACCTCAATGTTCTTCTTGTAGTGAGGGGCCCAAAACTGAACACAGTACTTGAGGTGCAGCCTCACCAGTGCAGAGTACAGTGGCACTAAAATTTTTTTCCAAGTTAGGGTCTCCAGTTAGCTTTCTAGCAAGCCAGAATAAGGGCTTCTCAAAGTTGTAGTTACTCTTAGCTGAAATGTCGTAATACTGGAGATTCTTTTTCCTGTGGAAGACAATGGATTTTGCCTTGACTCTTCTGTCCTTAATATCCACTTTGTTGCCACACAACACTATAGGGATGTTTTCACATACTTATACCAGATCTCTGTGCCAATTAGGTACATTCTTGTAAGTAACTCTTGATGTTACGTCAGACATTATGATGAGCTTGGGTGTAATAGCCATCTCGCAGGCCACCAAATTTCTCTTGGCCAGCTGTGTCCCGTATGTTAAATTTAATAGGGCATCTGGAACACCAGAGGATGAACTTCAACACCCAAGCGTTGCTACATACTTCTTTTCAAATTCACCAGTCAAATGACATTTTACAAATGTTGTTTTACCAGTGCCACCATCACCAACCAGGACAAGCTTAAACTGCACTTGGGGCTTTCCTTGGGCAGCCATGCTGGGTCTTTCCTGAGGAGTCACTTTCCCCGCATTGCTCCCCTCAGTGAGTGGGCGCTAAGAAGATGGCCTACTGCTGTCTAGAAGAACAAGGACAATCAAGGAGCAAGAAGTTTTTAGCCTGCTAAGTCCACTGCTCAGCTGGAGTGGATGTCATTGAGTCTGTGCTTGACAAGTGGCAAGTCCCTGCAGTGACTCAAGTGAAAGAGCAGCACCCAGTAGGTCTGAGCATGAATTCTTACAGCTTGGTCAGCTTCCCAGATGCGCATCTCATTGCCCCACTGCCATGCCTGTCGTTATGTCCATTTTGAGACCGCAGCACACTTCTTTGTATGCATGGTACTGCTATGGTTGTAAAGTAAATAAAGTAAGTGACCATTTGACCCTAAATAACAAGACCATGCGTTAGTCACTGAACTGCTCAGAGACATGGTATTTGACTCTTAACTTGTTATATCTAGGGAAATACAGAGCACTGCAGATTTAATGTTATTGATCTTGTTCATCTCTGCAAGGGAGAGGCTTCAAAGAGGCAGAGATCAGAATTTTATTCCTTCAGGTTGTAGTCACGTGGGGACACAGTGAAGGAGTCCTGGCTCAGCTCCTGGCAAAGAGGGTGGAAGCACCCAATCCAGTGGAGCCCAGAGACAGAGGGCCACGTCTAGCCTGCCCTTTTCGAGGAACTGCTTTTGGATTTAAAATCATCAGCACTGAAGTTTCATGTAGGGTGGGGAACAAAACTGGACGGATCTTGAGGCCTTCCAGGAGAAAAAAAAAAAGAGAAAGGAAGAAGAACACAATTCATGTCTTGGACTAGTACAACACACTATAAATATTCCTGCAGGAGCAAGGGTATGCGCTGCTTCAGTGCATCCAGGTGAAAGGCCTTGCGAGAGGAAATTAAATCAGAACATTGCATTGTTTCTGTCCCACTGGGTTCAGATGGAGAAGGTGAAACTTAAGAAGGGCACTTTCTCCTGCTCCTCACTGCTCCAACATGAGAATCGTTGGCAGGCCAGCCTGTAAGAACTAGCCCTTTACAAGATATACAGTGTACCTTGCTGCACGCCCTCTTAATGTGGCTTTTCCCTGAAGTCGGCAGGTTCTCATAGCTTTCCCCAGTGCCAGTGCTCCAGCAAAGAAGGTATTTTACTCTATGAAGCAGGCAAATTCCACACTGGACTCTGTCTGCCAGCCCTGCTTGGTTTAGCCCTCAAACACCCATGGTGGGTGTGTATTCCCCTTATTCTGATTGTCTACAGCTCTAGTTGAAGAATTTATTTTTGTTGAGATCTCTGCATCACTAAAAGTTACAACCCTCTCTGGTTGTAATGCTCCTTATGATTTTATAAAAGGTAAATGGTGGATCTGATCCATAAAGTTTTAACTTTCTCAGAAAAAAACCAGTTTGATAGTACTGGGCCATTTTTTGCGAAGGGTGAGTTTTGTCAGTCGCTGTTTTGGGGAATTATGTTTACGTATGTGGAGGGAAGGGCAGGTATAAGTGCCTGTATTTGCATGCAAAAGTTTAAATTTTCAAATACTTTTCAAATAAAACATTTTCATGTTTCAATAAAAAAAAAAAAGTCCTTAAAAATGATCAGACCCGAAACATAGCATTTTTAGTGTGCTTTCCTGGCCTTCAGTGTCAGTTTACTTCAACATCCGTTTCTGAAAAATAATCAATCTAGGTTAACACAAGTGATCTGTTGTCCCTTTTTTTTTTTTGGAACTTCCAGCAATTTGAAAAATCGGTGGTTTGCATAACACTGTCTGCATTTTTTTTCAAATGAAAGTTGTGGAAGGCATGCAGAGATCTACGGTGAGATTTATGGTCTGTGATGAACTGGGTGTTCATAAAGAAACCTTAAACCTGCGACTCTATTGAAGTCCTGCTGAGAAGAACTCAAGTTGTGCATGCTCAGCGGTGCTCAGTTTAAGTTAATAATTATTTTCCCTTCATTCTTAAATTTCCAGGCTGATCTGTTGCTTCCACTCCACTTATTCTGCCCATACAAAAACCTTATTTTAAAAAGTACTAGAGCGTGGTACATCCAAACTTAGCTTTCAGTCAAAGGAAAGCTTATATACTCATCTATTGACTTTGAAGGGGCTGTTTGTGCACTTAAGGTTAAACTTGTGCATGAGCTTGGTTCTTCCAAGAAGACCTGCCTAGAAACAAGTGACTATGGCTTCAAAGGTCTGTCGCTTCTCCATCCTCCTTGTGAAGCTGGAGTGTTGTGTTGAGACACGTTCCTTGCTACAAAACTTTACGATCAGTGAGTGAAATCCTGGGATTATGAAAAGCAGTGACGGAGGTCTTGTTGACTACAGTGGGATATTCTTCTGCTATCATCGGTTTATAAGTACTTGTCAGGATCTCTTACTTTGCAATACGGATGGCAACAGCTAGATTGAAGACCCGGCCTGAGATTTCTCAGTCAACCAATACTGCATCCTAAATTTTTATTACTGGAAAGAATTGAGGGAATTGGTCAGTAATAACCACATTTGCTTGTATAGCTTTTAAGTTTATGCTTATTTGTTTTATTTCTCATTGGGCTTCTGAGTGGGTATGCGGAGTACCGAAAGCCAAAGATTGCCCCTCACTGGCATGTCTGCATCAAAGAGAATGGTGGAGTCCTGCATCTAGCTGTGGATCCATCAGCACAGGAAAGACATGGACCTTTAGGAGCGGGTCCAGAGGAGGGCCACAAAGATGATCAGAGGGCTGGAACAACTCTCCTATAAGGAAAGGCTGAGAGGGTTGGGGCTGTTCAGCCTGGCAAAGAGAAGGCTCCGGGGAGACCTTAGTGTGGCCTTTCAGTACTTAAAGGGGGCTTCTAAGATGGGGACAGACTTTTTAGTGGGGCCTGTTGCGATAGGACAAGGGGTAATGGTTTTAAACGAAAAGAGGGTGGATTTAGACTGGATGTAAGGAAGAAATTTTTTACAGTGAGGGTGGTGAAACACTGGAACGGGTTGCCCATAGAGGTGGTAGATGCCCCATCGCTGGAAACATTCAAGGTCAGGCTGGACGGGGCTTTGAGCAAGCTGGTCGAGTTGAAGATGTCCCTGTTCACTGCAGGGGGGGTGGACTAGATGACCTTTAAAGGTCCCTTCCAACCCAAATCATTCCATGACTCTGTGGTGGCCAAACAGCAGATTAAACTGAGTTTTCTCCGGTCTGAAATTACATAGACCCAGAACCTTCCCTACGCCTATGGGGACCCTGTGAACTGGCTCAAGGATCCCCCGAAGCCAGTTACCACGACTGGTTTTTCAATGTTCAGTTTTGTGGCTTGTTCTCACTGCTGTCATATATCTGAATCTGTGCTCAAGCTGGCATTCAGTCCTGTAGGTCCACACTTGTGGTTCGGTCCTGCACCAGTGCAACTCCTCAGTCAGCTGGAAACAGTTGAAAACAATTTTTTTAAATGTACTTTTAAGGTACTTTGTGCATGCATCATTTCATGAATAATCATGAAATAAGATGCTGACTTGTCCAAGAAAGTGAAGTCTCTCCCTGGCTGCCCTCACAAACTGATACACCAAGTTAGTGATGCTGTGTGAACCCATTCTAAGGAGGGCCCTGTACCAAGCCCTGTTGAAGTTATTGGAAAAGATCACATTCATGTCAGTCAGTGCGGGTTGATTCTCAAAGCTCTGCTGTTCTGATGTGACTGGTATAATTTAGAGCTTGGCATATTTGCATCCACACAAGCCGGTGTAACAGGCATGCGCAGATGAGTGGAGGAGAAGCTGTGACCATGCACCCTCTTCTGTTTCCTTTCCTTACCACACAGAGTGTTAACTGCTGTGGGAAGTGTTATTTCCTTAAGGACTAATCCTTCTAGTCTTTCACATTATAGTTGATAGGAACCCCTTCACCTTCCAATTTCAAATGAATATGTTTCATTAGAAATTTTTCATACTTCTTGTGCAACACATACCAAGCAGAACGTTTATCTTCATTGTATTGTTTATATTTATTATCAAAATTAAAAAAAAAAAAGTTTAAGTGGAAATTACATTTCCCCATGGACATTCAAAATAAGTAAACAAGCAAGCAAACAAACCTGAATAAAACCCAACCAGCTTCCTGGCAAGAGGAAAACTGTATGGGTAAAAATATCATCTTGCTTGATTCCACATGCAGCTCTCCTTTTCAGGGAATGGAAATGCTCCATTGTGGAGGCCTCTAACTGCGTACAGGCAGAACCTGATTATGTGAGGCTAGATTGTGGAGCTGTAATACATGTTGGCAAGCACTTTCTCAGCAGGTACAATGACCTAAGTAAATGCTCACCAATATGAATAAGGTCTCCACAGTTCCACTGCCTGTTAATATACTTATGGAGCGAATACTGGACTAAGCTTCATTATACACACAAGTTTATAAGCAGAAACACTGAATACGTGGAGACGGGGTAAGCATGCAAGTCTGAATGCAGGTTATTGCCAGGGATAAGTTCACTTACACAAAATGTCCATTCACCCAGTATATTTGTGAGGTTCATCCCATGCACACAGGGATGAACATGCCCAAAATACAGCAGTTTTCCCTAAATTAGTGCCTTTCAACATAGGAAACAGCATGGGTAATACAACATATCCCTTATAGTTTTGAACATTTAATTGCCGAGCCACTTTCTAAAATGCTTTATCCAGTTTCTGAAATGGGGCAGGGAAAACAAATTAAAGACACAATTAAGATATGGTGTACACAAACATGAAATGTGGACTGAAACTATGGGATATCAATTGTGATTGGAAAAAAATGACTGTGAGCTAGGACAAGAATCACTTCAGCTATCTGCTAGCTCAGTAATTTGAGATGTACAATAATAAATTCTCTGAGGGAAGTATTGCCAATCCAAAGGAACTAGCAGCAATGGCCTCAAAATGGCACTGGGTGGAAGAGCCTAGTTTCACAGGTGCCTGACTGAGCTGCTGGGAACGTCAGTGCCTCTAAATCATTCACCAGTTAGACACAGTGTGCGGCTGGGAGGCTGTGAAGCTGCATGGCTCTTACTGGCAGAACGGCTAGAGAATAAACACCTC